GTATATTCCATCTCAATGCAACATCGTTTATGGAGTTATTTGAAACGTAGGAGACTGGACATTTAGATAATTGTGTAGGTATGGGTGGAGATGCATGTGAAGCGAGAGCTCTAAACCTGATCTATATTGGAGATTTGAACTCCTCACCAGCTCACAGTCATGATCTAGTGAAGGCCTGAATCCTTAGGCTATGAGTTAAGCATAGTGACCACTCAAACATTCGCATGAAATGTAAACACCCATGAGTTCCTACTTGTCTTTAAATCTCAAACGTGTGAATACTTCCGATTACATTGCGTTTGTTTGTTTTAATGAGGCACTACAACGATGAGCATCGCAAACAGTGCACACTCATTACGGATGTGTTGGATAAAAATTACGTTTTCGACAACCAATTACTTGAATCAGTCTTTGAATTATTGTTGACCGTCAACACATTGGCTTATATGTGTCTTCATTTCAGTATGACCGTCTTCATCTTAACTGAGAATAGCCTCTGTAGCGATAAAATTCAGACACCTTTCTAAGTTCTGCTTTGACTTGTGCAATTCAACAATTCATTTAACCATCTTAACGCATATATATTCCAAGATTTCTGAGTTTAGGCGTACAACTGATTAATGTCTCATGCTTTGTACTTTCATCGAATAAGCCGGCTTGTCCGTTTATAGACAGATGACGTTTGCTGTCACATTAAATCAGAGTAGACTGTTAGATGAGCTGAAGTTTTGGTTGTCAAACATTTTGAGCATCATTCATTAGATTCTCTTACATAATTGTGGTGATTGACAATTTCTATCTCTGTATTGTTTTAATAATTACTGTTGACTGTTAATATGTTTCTTCTATGAATTGCATAATAATTCCGTAAAATACAAATTCCTGAGTTCTGCCCTCTCTGTGTTTTGGTTGGATTCGTGTAATTCGGTCATCTCGAAATACTAATTTTACGATTACAACAAAATACTACAATAATATGAGGATTAATTGTTTCCTTTTACTGAACCAAAACTATCAGTGTCACATCTCTTCATATCAGCTAATCAGAGTCTGTGTGGCTCACAGAATCAATTTGTTTCCCATGGATATTATATATCTAGGACAGGAATGTGAGCATCTGAGTACGAACCTCATACCTGGAACAGTTGCTGTTTAAATGGACATTTGGCGTTCAATTCATCTTGAACAACGCTATCTACAGGCAGAAAAATGGAAATATCTTGGGCTCTCTGGCCTTTTAGCACACTTTCGGTAGGTTACTTTATAGCCAGTTTGGAAAATAGGATCTTAAAATCACCAATCGACAAATTACTGCTGTACAAAAACGTATGTGTACGATACTTTAATAGTCTGTCATGATGATTCTGATTTAAACTCCAACTAACATCCTTCAATTAAATTCACAATGCAATTTGAAAGTGAATCAAGATTCCATTTTTGGACCGTCGAATTGACACGAATAGATGAAAAGCTTCTGAAAAGACCTATCTACAGTAGGGAATCATGGAATAGCCAACTAGAAAACATCTACAGTCAGATACCTGTCAGTTGAGAAATAGCTCTCATCACCTCACCAGCTCGTGCGAAGCTAGAAACACAGAGATTTCCGTGTGGCATTTTTGAAAACGTGCTAGAGAAATTATTGATATAAGAATAAAACTTAGGCACTCTGCTAGAGTATGACTCCAACATGGATAAATTTTATTTTGATAAAATCACACTGTGTTATACAGGAGTCTTCACTGACCACCTCATTTCGAGGACGATTTATGGCTCATTACCTTATCGAGGTAGTCACATAAAATTGCCCAGCATGGCTGCAAAGAGGAAGCACGGATTCAATCAGAAACGCTATAAGTGAACACCTCGTCAACACATGTCACAGCATCTCACCTGACCCATCATTCAGATTCATTTACAAAGTAAGCAAAAGTCTACTGAAGACAGCGTCTTTTTAAATTCTTTGCACTGTAGAAGCCTTCGCTGTATGCATAGAACAGCGAGAGCTGTATGTTCGAGGAAAATATTCCACCTTCCATATTTACCATAGAACTAGTTCGGTTTGTTTCCTTAGGTCTCGTATATCTTACCCCTTCATGAATTTTTCATTTACAATTATATGACGTATTATGATTTCAATTTCCTTCCATCGTCATTCCACTCATGCCTTTATCCGATAAAATATATTTTCTAATCTTGCATAATATTCTTTCACAGTTCCTCTGCATCCTTGAACTTTCCTATCGAGCGAGAAAACATGATCACTTCTAATCTCCTCCTTCGCCATTATCACATGGGATTAAAAAAGCTATAATTGTATCTGTGTAGAGGTATGTATGTAGGTGTGATTGTACAACAGCCTTCAGAAGTGAAATCGCCAGAGAAGTGTCTTTGCTGCTGTCCTTCTTGTTCTTTTCTCTCTTATATAAAAGAAACCTAAATGACACCTGTGATGACAGTCTGATGTTGTTTTATAAATGATGCCTACTAGGAGAATCCAGGTGGGGTGTTTCATATTTGTCAGCTAGTTGTATAGGACAGTGTTCAGTCATATACTTATACTGACTGAGAAACACAATGAGGTATTCAAGCATTGGTTCGTAGGGATTTGATTGATAGGTAACAGAATTTCATCATAAGCTGACATTGGTTTGTTGTTCATTGGAGTCGAAATGCTGAGCACCTGATTAGACTACTGTATATAAACTAGTAGTTAGAGCAGCAGTCAATCAAATGTTCAGCACTATTTCATTGACGGTAGTTATGTTTATAAAACTAAGTATCGCATCATATTTTCAAGTATGTTCCTCCTAGTACTTCCCACCACTCAAAGATGTCAACGAAATAGACGACGAAAAGGGTGAAGCCTCCATCACACACAAGTGCCGAAAAACAATATCGCTTGTATTATTCGGTCTCATCAGATAGATGATTTTAAAAGGGGACTCAGGTGGAGAAGAGTGATTTGAATGCACCATCTGTGGAAGAATTGAGCTGGTGGTTGTCCTGAGTTGTCATCATGGTGTTTTTGCTGGAGAATGCTCAGATATGCTCCGAGAAACCGTGTCTTTCATGCGTCCAATATGAATAACTCCACAGGAGCAAGTGAATTAGTAATCATTGATTAAAGTGGGCGAATGTGGCTGTCTATTCATCCCACATTGACTGATCATTTCCGATAGTACAAACTGATCCATAGCTTAGCAGGAAAGAATTCATTTTCTCGTTGATCTGGATTGGTCTCTTTCAGAATCTCGACCACCGTATCACCTGTAAATTCAATATTCATCACCGGCAATGTCCTCAGTACTGTTTGGATTCTCCTAGACTTCTCCATGAATTTCACCTTTTTCTCAATTAATCCAGTAGAATACACATTTGTGAATGAGGATTCGCCCGAGCATTCACTTCATTATGAGATTGCATGACTGATGGAATTACTTCTTATTTTCACAGGTGAGGAGCACACCAGGTTTCTCCTTCCTCTCAATCGGATTTCAACATATCAGGATCATAAGATGTTATTCAAAATCTATCATATGTGTACATTATAGCCTACAGTTGTGAATAATATCAAGCTCTTATTGTGTGTCTGTGTGAAGACAAATTTGTTGTTGTTCTTCACATGCACGAATGATCGTAGTTCAAATTTCACTATTATGAATAATACGAAGTATCTTTCACATTACGTGCGAATCATCTTTTCCTTAATTTTCATTAAATGATGCAAGACTTCTTTTTTGTTACAAAAAGTGAACAGACATGCAGCGATTTCATCACACTGTTTAGGCTGTGCTATGCATCGACAATACACTTTTCAAGCAGTCCTAGTCCTTCAACAAAGCTATTGTTGCGCGCATCTACATAGTGGCCACTGGATCACCCTCTCCCTCTCTCCACAATATCAAAATCCATACTGGTTACGTTAACTGCCTTCCATGTTATGCTATGAGTAATTCCTCCGTTGGAAGTACAACAGTGCATGAAGTATGAAGATTTTCATAAGCACAAAAATATCACAAAATAGTGAAAGCGATGTAGGATTGATTCCTGGAATCCGATGCATTGTGCACTAAAAGTAGTGCTGATTCATTAAAGTGACTCTCTGAAATACACAAAATAATACATTTTGAATGCGAATGTCAACACATCAAAAAGGAAATCTACTACATGTGATGTGTTACTCGTGTGACATAGTTCGTGATGTGTGACCTCATGGCCCATCAGATAACAGATTTTGAGTGTGTGTGTGTGTGTGTGGTGGGTGGGTGGTTTGATGAAATTCGAGTACTCCCTATAGAGTGTTAGAAAATCATAAGCATTCATATTGTTGTTTACGTGTGTGTGTATTTGGTGAATATATTTGATGATGGGTAGTTTGGGTATAAAAGTGAGTGTTCGTCTGAGTTGGGTGTGAGAGTGGAAGTTAACAGAGTGAAGTATTGTAGGAAACATGCAACAGTGTGTCGTTTTACTCAACCTACTCGCTGTCCTGAGCATCCACATGTGTGATGCACAAGGTGAGTGACACGTAACTAGTGAGTAACTGGTCGTCTGTAATCCGCATATATTTGTGGGTTTGTAGGTCTGTATGACTTCGTGTCCATTGAAAATTTCTTGTGAATGCTCTCGGAGAGTGAGATTTTTATTCGGTTTTAGGCGAAGCAATATATATATATATATATATATCAAGGTTGTGTGGGTGGTCTGCTTTCTTGCATGTGATGAGTGATTTCTTGAAATATTGGACATGTGGGCCAACCAATTGGTGTTGTTATCCAAGTAGTTTAAGACACTCTTTCAACTATATTCTCGTGATATCGATATATCCAGAGCATAGTCTCAATTCATTTCATCCCCTTGATCACACTTGCCACTCACATCATATGCACACTTTTTCATCTGTATGAATGTGATTATCGAGATGTTGGTTCTGCTGTCTGAATCTACATTCCAGGTGACCAAGGCGACTGCATCCCCGTTGGGAAATATTGTGCTGCAAGCTTGACGAAGACGTGTTGTCCACCAAACGAGTGTCAAATGACGTCTCCCAGGTCTGGGACGTGTGTGAAGTCATGTTATCAATTGAAAGCACAATGTCAGAAGAATGAAGAATGTTGCAGCAAGCTGTGTATAGACGGGAAGTGTGGAGATGCAAGTAAGTCATGTACTGTACTGTACTGTACTATCTAATTAGACGAACATGCAAGTGATTAGGGATTTCAGTGAGATGAGGAACACCCGCTCGTTTGAGAGAAGTGGCTGCATCCTACCTGTCGACAACAGTGGACAAGGCCAACCAGGCAGGCGATTGATTACACAATCATTTCTCCACTATGTGCTAGTTGTCTCCCGAGACGTCCTCATTTATGTCGGGTGATCTAGGTAGCTGATGGGAATCGGAAATAGACTGTCTCCATTTTGTTTACTCACGACGCCATTATTCGATGTAGCATGTTGTCAGAATGCAGAGGGTTGCCACTTTCTTCATATCAGCGGGTTGTTCAATACAGCTTACAATAGTCAGTGCATCTCGAGTAACTAAATTTATGTTTCTCAGCTACGTCTGAGTCAATGTGACGATTTGTATCAAACGGCTTCCACTTTTTGCATGCACGAATGACGTTAAGGATATCGAAATATCTTCATTGACGTGTACTCGCATGTCAGCTTAAATTTGGAGACATGTGAGTAGTTGACATTTCTGATTTTCTCTCCCCCAGTAGGTCGTCATTTCCTTGAAGGTTATTAGTTTTGGAGAATTCGGACTGTTTGTATCCGTTGATTGGGCTATCAGTTGATGAGAACTCTTCGGACCTCAGAATTTTTGTTGTTGCTTAAATATCAACAAGAATCTTGACATCGATTCATCATTTCGACATTGATAACAGAAGCTCTCCACCATTTCATGTGTTCCTTCGATTCAGATGATTATAGAACCAAGTTGAAATTGATTGTCATTCATTTTCTCGATCACACTCATATCGAGTGTGCATGAACACCCGCTCGTAACACACACACGACTACATGATATCGTCATCACCACGTGCATTCTGTGTGTTCTTCACGCAATATTCTATTGTCACTGATGATTGTAGAAGCAAGTGTCGTCTCACTGTTTCACTGCATTCACATTCCAGGTGAGTGCATCGCCCTCGGACAATCTTGTACTGCAAGTATGGAGAAGAAGTTTTGTCCACCATATGAATGCCAGATGAGCACTCTTAGATCTGGAACATGCGTCCATAATTGTCTCAAGATGAGTTCACCGTGTAAGACGAATGAAGAGTGTTGCAGCAACAGATGTTTATATGGTAAATGTCTGGACAAGAAAACATTCGGAGAGAAGTGATGTTTGCATTCCTAAGGTGTCTGGATGATTTCTTATATTTCGAATACCTTGTAAACATGTGTGTTACTCGAGACGAAATTGGTCGGCTGACATTCTCATATCATCTCAGTTGATTGATTCGTCTTCGAATTCTCCTCACTTGTTTTCTCTCTCTCTCGCTCTTTTTCTACCCCATCTGTTTCATTAATTCCTTTTGTTGTCATCAAATTGTGAAGACTGTGTATCTGTGTGATGTAATTTTTGAAATAATATTTGTATTCACCTACACTTCTGTGTTATTTTTTCCGTGTTGTGGGGACTTTCTGTTTCCGCGATCTTTGAACTTCGTGGTTAATGTATCTACTAGCATGATGGTGTCTGATCAAATGAATTGTATTCAGTACTTCCTCGATATTCTTTGAGATGTTCAAAATAGACAGGCAGATTTCCCTCTACTTGGCTTACGTGATGTTTCGATGGGTAGTGGATTGTCCCATCATTTGTTTCTGGTCTCTTCACATTAGATTTCATTCAGGTTGAACTTCAATGACATTCTCTCAATACTTCACTTGCATTCTTATACTGTTGTTACTTCACATAGGTGACAAGGAATTAAATGACATAGTATATGTATTTAGTGACAAATTGTACAAATGAAATTACATACAGTAATATGCGAGTGATGTGATTACGAGAAACGCATGAACTGCCACGATGCAATTCCACACGAAATAGCATTCTTCTTAAGTAAAGCCTATCACTGAACATACGTGAATGCAGTCCAATGTTTTCGCATACATCAGTACATATGGTTCTAAACACCAAATCTGCTCATCAGCCTGTTGTGTATGAACGCTTAAGAGGGTATGGTTAGGACGACGACGTTTCGGAGTAACAGTCGAATTTCCCAAGAAGACGGGAAACATTGCGATAGAACAGTTAGTGTAGACATAAATGTCTGAATGAAAAGGTGGTACTTCGCCGAAATGCTTCAGTTAGCTACACACAATATGACGAGTGAATCAGAGGCTAAACTACCTACGATCAGTGACTAATGTATACTGCATGTGACACATGACCTGATTATTCCTTCATAAAACCCTGTGTTGGACTGATTAGCGAATAATGCTCACCACGTATTAGGAAGTCACGCACATGCACAGTGTTGTTTATGGGTATGTATGAGTATTTGATGAATATATTTGTTGATGGATATTTAGGGGATAAAATTCAGTGTTGGTTTGAGGTAGTTGTGACAGTATTCAACAGTGTGCCGTTTTACACAGGCTACCCGCTATCACTACCGTGCACATGTGTGATGCACAAGTTGAGGGAGAACTAACTAGTGAGTAACTGATCGTCTGTAATCCACATATATTTGTGGGTTTTTAACTCTTCGTAATTTCTCACCCTCTGAAGTCTTGCTACGAAGTCTCATAGAGAAGATCCTGCTACAGACAGTACGCTCATGTGATTTTTGCATTACTGAAGGCTTACTGACTCATGTCTAAACATCGGACTATGCATACAGAGTAATTTATTCAACCATTTCTACTGGCATGTTTACGTCCTCGTTGATTCCTACTAAACTGAATTTTGTTCGTCTCCTTGTCTGTTATTCTGACTTCTCTGAATTCTTGTATTTCTTCATAACTCACTCTTACGTAATTCAATACTTTCCTTAGCTTCTATGGCCATCCTGATCACAGCTCATTCAATAAATATTTCAACTTTTTACGTATCTATGATACACTCCTCTGTGAACTTGCCTTTATTCACTGACTCATCTGAACAACTTTGTTTGTGACAACTCATCACCTCTTTGAATAAAACAATGGGTTGAATTCAAATGCGATTATGCAGCTATGGAGGAAGATGAATTCACCAGAAGGAGCATCTTCACTGGACTACATGTTTTGTTTTGACTAATGTATGGATGGGGATTAATCATGAATTGTAGGGTAATCTGTGTATGACTGTGAAGTTGAATTGCCAGTTCGCTCGATGTGCAGAATCGATAATGTGTTTGAGAACACAGCTGTGAGGGAGGGATCCCTGTTCTACTTATTGGAATCATGAGGGTGAATATTTGATGATACCTCAGAATAGCAAACGACCAACATTCTTACCTCAGTATTTTGGCCGATGAATTGATAGACGCATGCAGTAAATCACCAACCCCAATCATTCATGTAATCGACAAGTAACATTCAAAGTCATCATTCCAAATTTTGTAATTCTGCATCACTCCATCCGCAGATGACCAACTGTTTTAATGTAATGAGAAGAATATCCTGTATGTTTCTCAGTGAGATCATAGGTGACCAATAACTTTTGAACAATTAAAATAACTATTGGATTTTCGCGAATGCTTTATTTTTTATTTTATTATTATTGCTCCTTTGGGTTCCTAGTGGAACATAGGGCTTCAACTGCACGTCTCCATTTTCTTCTGTCTTCTGCTATACTTTTCGCCTGCATCCATGTTAATCCATATTCTTTCAACTCCTCTTCACACGGTCTTCTCCATGTCACCCTTGGACGTCCCACACGCCGCTTCCCTTTCGAGTTCCACTCGAGGGCTTGGCGCGCGATGTCACCCAGCGGTCTCCTCAGCGAGTGTCCGATCCATCTCCACTTTCTCCTGCATATTTGTTGGGCGATTGGTTCTTGCTTTGTTTGTTCCCATAATTCCTTGTTGGTGATTCTTTCCGGCCATCTGATCTTCAGTATTGAGCGAAGACAGTTCGCGAATGCTTACCAAGGTACAATGATAGATTGCATTTCCATCTATCTCATTCATTTCCTTCTGATGTGGTGAGACAGCAATCTGTTCCATAAAGCATTAGATACATGAAATAGAGTTGTCTAACCTGATTGCACTCCACGTGAAGTATTCGATCTCAGGAATACGTTACGTATTACATTTGAGTATGTAATAGATGGAATGTTACGGCATCACGTCAACATACTCGTAATACATCGTCACTACTTTTGAATGAATCTTACTGAACTAAATGTGATTATATCAAGGAGGATGTGTTATGAAAGTAAAGCTTTAGGTTACTTGAAGTTTGATGATGGATTAATTTGTCCCACGATATTGGTTGGGGTTGTGATTATGTTCTGGTGATACTTCTCAGACTAGGACGGAACAACCGTCCAGTACCCTCAGCATCAATCCATAAGAAATCTTGAAATAACTGACTCTTACAAACCTAAAAGAACACTTAAATCCACATTACTTTATTCAGATTTGTTAATTCTTTCTCCTGAAAATCTTCGTTAAAAGACTTTAATGAAATTGAAAATACTCCACAGGGTTAACTATATTAGTCTGCCATATAATGCAGTGGCTGAAATTACCTAAGCAGTAACATCACTCTTTGTATCTTTCACTTCACAGAACGCTGACACTACAAGTCAACTTATTCTAGTCTCATTTGGAGTTGGCGAATGCTTGAAGTTTGTCAATGTATACTGTTGAAGGTATCAAAGTAATGTGGAATGTAGTTGTCGTTATTGTTCAGGGAATTCATCATGACTAATTTCTTGAAACATCCAAAGTTCTTCATACTTCATGCACTGTTGTACTTCCAACGGAGGAATTACTCATAGCATAACATGGAAGGCAGTTAACGTAACCAGTATGGATTTTGATATTGTGGAGAGAGGGAGAGGGTGATCCAGTGGCCACTATGTAGATGCGCGCAACAATAGCTTTGTTGAAGGACTAGGACTGCTTGAAAAGTGTATTGTCGATGCATAGCACAGCCTAAACAGTGTGATGAAATCGCTGCATGTCTGTTCACTTTTTGTAACAAAAAAGAAGTCTTGCATCATTTAATGAAAATTAAGGAAAAGATGATTCGCACGTAATGTGAAAGATACTTCGTATTATTCATAATAGTGAAATTTGAACTACGATCATTCGTGCATGTGAAGAACAACAACAAATTTGTCTTCACACAGACACACAATAAGAGCTTGATATTATTCACAACTGTAGGCTATAATGTACACATATGATAGATTTTGAATAACATCTTATGATCCTGATATGTTGAAATCCGATTGAGAGGAAGGAGAAACCTGGTGTGCTCCTCACCTGTGAAAATAAGAAGTAATTCCATCAGTCATGCAATCTCATAATGAAGTGAATGCTCGGGCGAATCCTCATTCACAAATGTGTATTCTACTGGATTAATTGAGAAAAAGGTGAAATTCATGGAGAAGTCTAGGAGAATCCAAACAGTACTGAGGACATTGCCGGTGATGAATATTGAATTTACAGGTGATACGGTGGTCGAGATTCTGAAAGAGACCAATCCAGATCAACGAGAAAATGAATTCTTTCCTGCTAAGCTATGGATCAGTTTGTACTATCGGAAATGATCAGTCAATGTGGGATGAATAGACAGCCACATTCGCCCACTTTAATCAATGATTACTAATTCACTTGCTCCTGTGGAGTTATTCATATTGGACGCATGAAAGACACGGTTTCTCGGAGCATATCTGAGCATTCTCCAGCAAAAACACCATGATGACAACTCAGGACAACTACCAGCTCAATTCTTCCACAGATGGTGCATTCAAATCACTCTTCTCCACCTGAGTCCCCTTTTAAAATCATCTATCTGATGAGACCGAATAATACAAGCGATATTGTTTTTCGGCACTTGTGTGTGATGGAGGCTTCACCCTTTTCGTCGTCTATTTCGTTGACATCTTTGAGTGGTGGGACGTACTAGGAGGAACATACTTGAAAATATGATGCGATACTTAGTTTTATAAACATAACTACCGTCAATGAAATAGTGCTGAACATTTGATTGACTGCTGCTCTAACTACTAGTTTATATACAGTAGTCTAATCAGGTGCTCAGCATTTCGACTCCAATGAACAACAAACCAATGTCAGCTTATGATGAAATTCTGTTACCTATCAATCAAATCCCTACGAACCAATGCTTGAATACCTCATTGTGTTTCTCAGTCAGTATAAGTATATGACTGAA